GAGAAGGCCCTCCCCCGGGTAGTGGCCAGATGGCATTGGCTGGTAGACGGAACCCGGAGGGGGCCTAATTTGTGTGATCTAATGGGTCTGTGGGAGGTAATTGGCAGCAGGCGGTCTCTCAAGTTTAGTTTGTCTGCCTTTAATATTCTCAGCAAAACCTGATGGAAACATTACACATTACTCAATATTGGAATTTGTGAAGAGACAGAGTATTTTTCAATGGTCTGTACAAATATAAAATTATAATTTCAAATCAAATAAGGATACAACAACAGGAGAGTGCACTATAGGCTTCAAAGAGGTGAGTAGCTATGTCCAGTCGTTTTGAGTCTGCAGATTGCTGGTTATTCACCAAGGAAAGTTTATGCAAATGTGGAAGAACAACTGGAAAGAGGAATATTTGAAAAAAAAAATCATAACAAAATCACCAAAGAGTGCAAGAACAGAGCTATAATTGTTAACAAACTGAAAAAAACAGATGTTTTTATGTTTTGTTATTCAAACTCACATTCATCTCTAAATCTTGGCTCAGCATTTGGACCAACCCTCCCAAAGGTTTTTATTATTTCTGTGTGCAGAGAGTGTTGGTCTTGATACTGGGGATCTTCCAGGAAAGAGGCCAGCTGCATTTTGACTCTTTCCAAAAGCTTAAAGGGAAACAAAATTTGTAAGATATGAAAACTTTACTGCAGAAATAAGTAAAAATTAATAACGTCCAAAAGAAAGTAACTTTTAACACATTATATTTGTTTTGACTTTAACATTATCAGGTTTTTATTGTTACAAAATATCCTAGCATTAATACTTTTATCTCTTAAGTAAACCTCACCCTCAACATCTCCTCTTTAGAAAATCCTTCTCTAAAATGTATGCACTTTAAAAAAATGATGCTGACCAAAGTCTCTTGAATACCCATTTTCAAATTTCTAGATTCCATTAACCCCAACAAAACATCAATATGTAATTAACTCCGTAGTACAAATGTGCATTTATGTATTTAAACTAACCTATTACTACTTATTCAGCACACAAGTATGACTCAGTACAAATGTTCAGTTCCATTTCCTCTACTATGTTATTTTAGAAAATAAGGAAGAGTCTGAAATTATACAAATGCAAACTCTGCTATATTTTTTTAACCATCAGAAACAGCTTTACTCGTTAATTCACAAGTTTTTGAAAATATGGACTGCCCATTCTAAGATATTTTTGCTGAGCATGTTATGAAATAAAATTTAAGAATGAAAAAATGAACACATTTCTTGTTCTATATAGTTTCTACTATAGTTTTATATTAAATATGTTAGGCTTCATATTTCCCCCCTTTTTAATTATGTACTCCATTTACAACTAAAAAGTATTCCATCAAGAGCTGAAGGATGGGCCGAGGTGGCGCAGTGGTTAGGGTGCAGCACTGCAGGCCACTTCAGCTGACTGCTAGTTCGGCAGTTCAGCGGTTCAAATCTCACCGGCTCAAGGTTGACTCAGCCTTCCATCCTTCCGAGGTGGGTGAAATGAGGACC